TTGTTATTGGTCCCTGACCACTGATTGATGGGCGTGACAGATGCCTTTATAGTTGGGCAGGTGGCTGTTACAAGGTGAATCTTTGTTTCTTCTGTTGCACGCCAGCTGTTTGTGTAGCTGGTGTTCACTTGGGTTCTGCTCATCTGAGATCGTAAGTGCTGTTTTGTTTAATCTGAGTGGCTGGGATTTGGTTGGTCTTTGGGCGCTACACCTGCTGTGTGTTTTTGCAGCATTGTTGAGCTGCCTTTTTGGCTGCACCTGGAGCCTTTTACAGTGCACAGCTTCTGTCTTCTAATGACCTGCTGCTGATCTGCTCGCTCCCCGGGTACTCTGCGCTCCCACTCCTCTGTAAACTGCCTGCCATTTAGATCTTTATTATTGTCAGTTAACTTGAATTTAGAACTAAGGTGATTTTTATTTTTAGGCTGGGCTCCCACTCCTTGGCACGTAATTTAGCTGTGCATTGCTGTGCTTAAATGCTCCAGTGTACAGGGACGCTCTGCTGTCTTGTCTGGTCTTGGTTTGTGACAACTTTTAGAGTTTGGGCTGCTTCTCCACTGCAGTTGTTGCTGTTATCTTTGCAGCTGGTTGATTGGACTGTGCATGTCTCCTCTGCCCCTGTTGTAATAGGGTGTGAGACTGGACACTAACAGTTTGTTCCACCATCTGTACTATGTTTGAATTACTATTGTATGTAGAATAACAGAAATATCAGCCTTTACTTCATGCTCCCTTTTTCCTCTTTCCTCAGGGATTGAGTAGTAGACCTGAAGCAACTCCGTAAACAAAATTCTTTAAAGGAGCACATTCCAACTCCTACACTTCTCCATTGCTCCTCAGATGAGGTTTAAAAGGCCATGTTTTCTGTTTCCCTTCCAACGTGTGTGTATGTGTTTAGTTATCACACAGGAAGCACAGCTCCATCAGGAGAAACCGCTTCCTGCGTTTCGATGCCAAACCCCTGCCACCATCTCTGCCAGCAGGGGCCTTTTTTGTTTTTCCTTTCCTCTGGTGATTGCACACGTTTGTTTGGCTCCCGGTGATTTTAGTCAGACCTGAGACTCAGAGGATGATCGGCTCCCAAAAGTTAACGAAGATTTTAAAATCAGCACTGAAAAACGTTTCTTTTTACCATACCATACCACTTTATTTATAGAGCGCTTAAAACAGCGACAAGGCCAACCAAAGTGCTGTACAGACAAAACAACAGGTAACACACAAAGCAAAATACAAAATGAGGTAAATCAGAATATAGACATAAAAACGATGCAGATAATGACGACTAGCCAGTGTGGAGCATACAGGTTCAAAACACAGATCATCTGGTGTTGAAAGCTACTGAATAGTAGTGAGTTTTTAAACAGGACTTGAAAACCGAGAAGGAGGGGGCCTGTCTGACAAGCAGAGGTAACTCGTTCCAGAGTCTTGGTCCTGCTACAGAGAAGGCCCTGTCACCTCTGCGCTTAAGACAAGTTCCTGGAACTGTGAGGAGCTACTGGTCCGCTGACCTCAGGGAACATGGTAGGACATACGGTTGTAGCAGATCAAAGAGATGGGGGGGGGGGGGGGGGGCAAAACTGTTCAGTGATTTGTAGACATTTGTAGACATTCTTTTTAGATCAGAAGTAACAAGCATTGTATTAATCTAGAAGTTTATTATAGATGAACATCCCATGATTAGCTTCTGGGTTTCATTAAAATACATCCAACTCTTCATGAGATATTTTGCTAACATAACACACAGACACAATCGTAAACATTATCACCCTTTTGTCCTTGTAGGTGGCTGATAATGATGTTCAGTTGTTGAAATCAGTGCATGAGCCCAGTGGCACTTCAGAAAACTGGTTTGATGAATCCACTAACACAAAATATCTCTCCTGGTGAAGAAACACTGTCCAAGAACACGTTTTCTTCTCTGGACCAAAGTTAATTTAACTGCTGGAAGTCATTTTAACTTTATGACAGTGTTCCTCAGGAGGAAACCACCTCCTTATTTAAATGTTTATCCATCCATCATCTTTACCCGGTTCTTCCATTTTAAGTTGTGGGGGGTCGCTGTTGCCCATGTCCAGCAGTCACTGTGTGAGAGGTGGGGGCACCCTGGACAGGTCTCCAGTTCCATCACAAGGTCACATGGAGACAAACGAGACAAACATTCACTCTCCCTCTCACACCTAAGAACAATTTAGAGTTACCAATCATGGTTCAAGTTAAAGGTTCTGTGTGTCCGCTGATGCAGCGGCTGGGTGCAGTCCAGTTAAGCTTCTGGTGGGTTGCTGGCAGTGAGCCATCTGTACTTTTTATTAAACTTCTTTCAACCAGACGGTCAGCCCACGGTCAAACGGCCATGCATCCGGCTGGTGATCCAAATTGGGTCTTCAGCCGCGCACATCTGCTGAACCAATCAAAACCCAGACACCGACCTGGCCCACCCATCCAGTATATTATTTTGGCCCGGGAACGGGCCTGGGTTAGAAATGACAGCTCTAGCCAGCACCCGTTGACACAGTCCTGTGTCTAGTCTAGTCACTGTGACTAGTCGACGTGAAATTAAAAAACTTACAAGATGTCCTAGAATTGATTAATTGGTTGTCTACTGGACGATTCGGCCCCTAGTATAGGGTTAAAAAAACAATTTAAATCACTGAGAGGAATGCATTATTTGATGATCTGATAAATATGGGATTAAAAGTTGTATATACAGTGTATTTGTAGTGAACTAGGCCTCCGACAACAATCTGTCTCTGAAGACCTTCAGGGGACAGGAACTGTTATTTCATTGATTTGAATACAGAAATACAAATTATCTCATCAAGAGACTATTTAATTGTATCCTGAATTAATCAATTGAAAGAACACTCTTTTTTTTACATTATCATCACTATTTTAAGATATCTTAATAATCAAAAAGTGTGTTTAGTTCATACCATTTCTAAATGTTGAAGTGAACCACTCATTTAAATCAACTGTGAAACAATATTAATGATTTTTAAACCTCATTAGATTTTTGATCATACAGTTAAATGCCTATTTACGAAGTAAGTGTGCATTTAGTCTTCTGTCTGAATGAGGAGTAGTAGTGGATGTCGGTCAAAAGTCGGAGACAAACAGAGACAAGTTATGAGGACGAAGTGTTTTGTTTTTAAAACTCACAGAAAGTAAACAACTTCTGCTGGCACCTGCTTTGTCTCACCTCTTCATAAACATTTATCCGTCTGCACTAACCGTTCTTAAACATTCCTACTGTCTCTTGACTTCTTGTGACCCTCTGACATCACTAGAACCACACCCCTGCTGGTTGTTTCAACCAATCAGGAAGTATCACGTAACAGGAAGTGGATACCCCTTTAAAAGGCAACACTTCTTGGAACTATTCAGTCCTAGAACTCAGTCTTCTAAGTCCTGGAACTCAGTCTTAGTTGGCAGCTCAGAACACCACATACAGAACACCATGGACTTTGT